ATAAAAATGCAGCTAAAAATAAAATTGTTTAAAACGGTTAAAATGATACAACGCCCTAAGCCGGTCCTTCAAAAAAACATTGTTTTAAAAGCCCGACTGCATAAGAAGTTTTTAATTTGCCAGTGGAAGGACAAGGAGGGGACCATTCTGATCTCTCTAGGAAGGGAGTTCCACAGTCCAGGAGTAGCCACAGAAAAGGTCTTCTCTCATGTCCCCGTCAACTTTGCTTGTGATGGTGGTGAAAATGAGCGACGGGCCTCTCCAGAGGATCTCAGAGCCCAGGCTGACTCATAGAGGGAGATACCATCCGCCAAATAGCCTGGACCTGAGCCTGAGGTTTGGGTGAAGTAAGAGAGTTTTATTTAGAAAAATGCAGAATGCAATCACGCACACATAGCATTTAGAACAAACCAAAATGGAAATATGGAAACCAGATAGCAGAGTATGAGGGGTTCAAATGGGGGTAATAATTACCTGTCTTGATACCAGATAACGGAAAGCTGGAGTGGCTCAGGCTGGGGCAGTCTGATGGCGGCACAGTTTTATATATACCAATATTTATATCTCAAAAATAACCTCTGGGAATGTTCTGTCTTGTAAGACAACAAAGGCTGGCTGTCCTTTCCCAAGAACCAATAATGGGATCCCAGACTGGTTGATGATCTTAACTTTAAGGTGACTAAAACAGCTATTGGATCAGCTATAAAGCTAATAATAATAATAATAACAACAACAATAAGGACAACCCCAGGGTGACTGGATAGGATGAGGTAGCTGGGAACTCAGCAGGGGACAGACAGAGAGCATATGCACCCTAGATCTTTAGTATTTAGCATTAACTCTTGATGTTCTTATTGCTTGTTATGAAACTGTGACCTAGAAGTAGGCAAACTTCAGGCTTGTTCAGACAGATCTACTTTGCTTTTTACTATAACTCCAAGAATGACCATCCAAAGCCAAAACTCAGTTACAGAACAGTGCATCACTGAGCACATTCTAAGTCCAGGAATTTATTTTCAGAACTGAACTGAGCTCACTATCCTTTCACACGAAAGGCTATTCTTGTTGTTGTTTTTCTCCCCAGCTTTCTTTATTTCAGCAGAATGATTTAAGAAGAAGAAGTTATTTTTGTCACTATTGTTAAACATTTGGGAATCAGAAGACTTTGCAAATCAGTCAGAGATTTACCACTAGATCCCAATCTAGATTGTGTCTACTCATGCTAAAAATTACAAAAGTATATATTTTGTAGATGTACAGAAGATCTTTCATGTTAACACTTGAATAAAACTCTAGTTTGCTGTTATAATTTGTATGATCAAATTATCTGACGAATAAGCCCTTCGTGGGTATTTTTTCTGTTTGGGTCAATCAGTCTTCCTGATGATTTTTTGCAAACATTATATGGGGTGATTTCTCATCCAGATCTAAAACTTTTCCCTCTTTGTTATGGTTGGTGTTATAGGATGGTTTCAGGAAAGATGAAACTGAACTATCAAATCCCAGAGCCAGTATGATAGTTGAGTTTACAATTGGTGTTCATGTATTCATCTTATGATTTGAAAGACACCTCTCAAAAAAATAGATTAACTTTTTAATAGAGGCCCAAATCTCATTGTTAGTCCCAGCTAGAGTAGACCCACTGAATCAAAGGTGTTGACTTGCCATTAATTTAATGGTCTCTTCTTGTTGGGACTAAAAAAAGGGTTCTATTTTATTCTAAAAACATTTTTATTTTGATCAAAGCATGTAAATACTGGACTGATTCTAAATCTGGTCCAGGATAATTTTATTATTCTACCTAACACAATTTACTTATAAATAAATAA